GTTCCTCCCATTGACTTCCATGTTAAAAAAATAGTTAAAAAAGCTGAATATTTCAAAAAGTATAAAATATTTTGAAAAAGTTGAAAGTTTCCCATCATGTGCTGAAAAGGCTAAATAGTTTGATATTTGAATGGTTTCTGTAGCTGAAAGTAGGCTGAAGTTATTGAGAGCCAAAGTATTGGTTGAAATAATAATAAGAAGAAGAAGATTAAAGATTTGAAGAACTATAGGGGAATGCTGTGGCACAGCATTCACACTAATAAAGTTGAGTTGAGTAAAACACGTTGAATTAGAAAGTGGAAGGATTCAGGGTAGTTTTATCTTCATGGCACCACCATTGACAACGTAAATATCTTTATAAATCAGTCAATATAAAGCTAGTAAGGTGCCAGACCTATCTTCACCGGCCTGTCAGCACTGGATTAAAGTCTGGCTGCCCGTATTATCATTCTGATTGGGGGGGTGGATGATCTTGCTTGTTTGTATTTCAGTATACCAAACACAATTGTCTTGAGCCTCTCTAAGCAGAGGACTGTGACCTTGCAAAACGGTAACACGCAGATTAAATTAATGTGGAAGGTCATGGAAATACCTTGAAAAATAAGCGGCCAATAGCAGGCCTCTTCCCACAGTCTACATCCAGTGATTCAGACTAGTACATTGCTAATTGCTATGAAATATGTATGATGCTTGCTTAATGTTGTCCTTCAAATGTTTGAATACAGCACTAAAACCTAAGAGCAGTGACATTCGGGAATGGGATGGAATTTCACATCCTGTATTCTTAGAAGTTCCCTTGGTGCAAGAAATCTCCTGAGGATGTGTGGCAGAATGGTCACCATGGCAGCTGACAAAAGCACCACAGGGAACATGTGGATCATAATAGATGAATCTATCCTTTTAAAAATAAAATAAAATGTTGTGGGTGGGGGGGCGCCAGTGAAACACCATGACACAGTATAAGATTGAGGAGATTGTAAATCATATGATCTAGTCCAGGGGTGTTAAACTCAATTTCATCACGGGCCACATCAGCATTATGGTTGCACTCAAAGGGCCGGTTGTAACTTTAAGACTATATAAACATACATATATAAATATTTAATATATATACAATAATGTATTATATGACTTTATTGCCTCTGCATTGGATTATTATCGGATAGGGTAACAACTTCAGATATAACTACGTCTGAAAGAAGAAGCCTAGGGTAAATAAGTGCAAGTCTCTTCAGTGAGAATGTCACAAAATTATTTTAAAAGAAAAGCCAAATTCTGAAAAAAGTGACATTTAAATTAAAAAAAAGTGACATTTTGAAAAAAAAGTAACAATACAAAAAAAAATCAAATGTAAGATGCATTGTGGGACATGTAGTTTATGGACATCGTGCATCTGTAAATCGGCCTCTAACCGTATAATAAACGTATTACATTCTTTCAGAGCTCTTGCGGGCCACATGAAATGAAGTCGCGGGCCGGATTTGGCCCCCGGGCCTTGAGTTTGACACCCCTGATCTAGTCAATTACTTTTGAATTACAATTTTACTAAAACATGTAAAGCATTTAAACAGGAATTTAGCATAACATGAGTATCCATATTTCTCAGCATACAGTTTACAGTGTTTGCACATTCACTAACAAGGACCATGCCACAACAAATGTCAGTTACAAATGTAATTATGGGAAGTATTGGATGTCAGGCAGTGATGAATGTAAGTGGAAGGGTTGAAGAAGGGTGAGGGGTGACATCTGTCAAGCTGGTATGTAGGTCGTTCTTAAGTCAAGGCAATGGGAGACTGTTGGGGGTTCTGTCTCAGGCGTGTTTCTGCTCAACCTAAAGAAGAACCACGTATGCAAAATTAAAATTAAAGTATGCATCAGATTGAATAGAAATAGATAAGTGGAGACATGAAAAGAGAAGATGTACGGAAGGAGACATATGGTAATGAAAGGGATGAAGGGATTTAGGGAGGAAAGGATGAGGAATTGTATAGATCTAGGGAGGAAGATAAAAGAGGTAGAAGGGTTGTAGTGAGGGAGGGATGAATGTGATGTAGGGTTGAGGGGATGAGGGGATAAATGGATGAAGGGTCAATGGGATATAAACAGGAAGGGATGACAGCAGGGGAAGGTCTAAATAGGGAGGGATAAATAGTTGAAGGGATGAAAGGCTAAATGGATGCAGGGTCAATGGGATATAAGGAGGAAGGGGTTAGAGCAGGGGTTTTCAAAGTGTGGGAAGGTGAGCCTCCCCTCAGAGAACATAAGAACAGCCGCGCCCCCCTCCCAATTATTATAGCTATTATTATTATTATTATTATTATTATTATTGTTGTTGTCGCTATAATGCAGGGGTGTTATTATCCAGTGATGCCCTTACCTAATGGCCTAGTTAAATCAAAGTGGTTAATTCTTTTTGGCTGGGCAGTGTAGTTTGACACACCGTCTTATTTGACTTTCTCAGGACTTAAAACAGTTTTTTGGGGGCAGACCCCCTCAAAGAAAAAAATATATTTACACACGTAAGGTCATCATCTTAACAGTTTTGTATGCTCATCGAGTCATCCGTGAGCAGAGCATCAAGTTGGCATGTCTATTACAGCTGAATGCGGCGATTACCATATTTTTTCAGCAAAATGCCTCACAAACGTATTAAGATCTAAAGCTTTAGTGCGTTTTAATTCAATGCTGAGTACAGCCAAACTTGACAGTCTCTTCTCTGTCATTGTAGACCGTAAATACCTCATTCCTTCCGTCTATTTGGGTCCGAATGCTTCTCGTTTTGCGCCGTCCCGTTCAAATGAAATTTGGCTACAATTCTTGTAATAGTACTATACAAATATAAAGCTTATTACTAATATTATTATTATTATTATTGTTGTTATTATTATTATTATTATTATAAATGACCTATAATATGTCTAACTATATTTAAAATGAGTTACCATTTAGAGAAGTGATTATATTTGTATGCCAATATTTTTCTATGGTAAAGTTTTCGTTTTGCACTTTTATTTTGATAGTAATAAGATCGGGACTCTTATTTTGAAGAAACATTTACGGGTTAAATCGGTTTACCTATAAAGATTAAGCCCCAGAAAGCACATGGCTACTTAGCATGCAAAATGAGTAATTCTGCATGTTAAGTAGCCATGTGCTTTCCAGTAGGTGGCGTGGGAAAAAATTAGGGGAAGCCAATAATACGTCCTTTCTTTTGGGTCGGGGGTGTGGTGGTCAATGTAATAACGTCACCAGATGAGTGATTACAGCACTCTGTATCATTTTACACACATTTGTATCATACAGATGCAGGACTTACGCCTGTTATCTAACCGACAGGTCCGCACGCACTCTCCAGCCGAAACTCTAGCATTCATTCACAAACTAAATCAGGAGACCTTTAACGTTTTACGTCCGATTCGTTCATTTTTTCCTCGCTGTACACAGCTCCAGTTTGGGCATTGGCCTGTCATCAAATTGTATTTGTTGTGTCTGCTGTAGCGGAAGTTTAGTACAATTATTTTTGATTGAATACTCCAAATCTCCACCCTCCATAATTGCACTTGCTTCAGTTGCTTGCTACTTTCTAACGGCGGTGAGAGTGGTGCAGTGGCGCTATCTATCTTCTATCGATTAGATATATGATTCGAAAATTATAAAAGTAGGGTAGACATGTGGATATTATCCGACTGAACAAAACGTGCATTTATCTAACAGGTTCGTTTTCCACTGACCTTATTTCGAGCTATTTTCCAAAATCCTATGGAGAAATCCCATTGCTTTTTTGTCGAGAGAAACCGAGCGCAGCTTACTTCCGGGTTTTAGGATGCGTCACTGCAACACTAAGTTGATGTGATTTGATTGGATTGTGAGGCAAGGGAAGCCAGCCGCCTCTGGCTTCCCTTGGCATGGCCCTGACTAATCACAGGTTGGCAGGGGCATGACGTGAGCCTTGTCTGATTGGTCAATCCCTCCATTTTTTTTTACCAAGGGAAGCCAATTTCGGCTAGCCTCCTCTCGCAACAGAGAGTGCAATCTACTGTTTCACCATAACATCTAGAGCGGCGTTGTTTCACTCTTTGTAAAATACTCAATGAGAATGGGGGAGAGACGGGCCGGCAGCATCACACAACAAAGAATTTCCGAAACTAAACGAAGTGTTTTTATTTATTTATTAAAAGTATAACTACGATCCGAAAAAACAGGGGAAGCCTGGCTTCCCTTGGCCTCCAGGAGAAAACGCCACTGGTGCTTTCGTGTTATCGGCTGAATCTTTATTTATTGATTAGATCACGTTACTCTGATGATAGTGTTCAAGACAGCCTATATGTCTGAACTCGATCCTTAGAGTAATGTGTTACAGAGCCTTCTCTTCAATATTGTTTCCACATAACGAGCATTTTGCACTGCTCTTTTCCAATGTGGAAGCAGAATGTGTGAAAGCATACAGCACGACGCGGGGTGTGTCTCTAGACATCTTTAGACTGGAATAGCGGGGCCCAGTACGTGAACTCGCCTCACAGGTGCACACGCCAGGATAGAGGACATCAGACTCCAGAAAAAGTCCGGGCGTCAATGTACAAGTCGAGTCGAGTCCGAGTCATCGTGGGGGGGAAAATTCAGGAGTCTGAGTCCAAGTCATCATACGCGAGAATTCACAAGTCTGAGTCCAAGTCCAAGTCATCGTGCGCGAGAATTCACGAGTCCAAGTCTGAGTCGCGTCAATCAGTGCGCGAGTCCGAGTCGAGTCACGAGTCCCGAAAATCGGCACTCAAGTCCGACTCGAGTCCGAGTCCAGGACTCGGTAATAGATAAACAAGGGCCATATTTGGTGACCAGGTAAAAGAAGATTAGCAGGTGAATAGTGGTGTGGATAAGGTGGTGCCCTGCTCCCAGACCTAGGTTAACTGATTGGTGTGCTTGGTTACCATCCAACAGTTGCCCATATCGTCCTCATTTCACCCATTATAACTCTGTCTCTTCTGTCCCTTCTCCTGCAGGTTATGCCACCCCAAAGGCTTCCTGGATCCCCAACCGTGAAAAAGAAGGGCTGATCCCTGTCCTCCCCCAGTTTCCTGCTATTTTGCACCCCATCTTCCCCTTCACCTTTCACCTGCTTATTCCCTTCTCCCAACCGCATTAACCCCACCAGACTCCTACACTGGTCCTGTCGCCCTTTACCTCTTGAATCGTTTGTGTAGTCATATCTTTCCCCAAGTAATCCTTACCATTTGCACTTCATACCATCGCAACAATCTTTTATTTTAGCCCCCTGCCCTCAAAATAGAGCTATTATTCTCCAACTGGCTGCACGCCTGGCCCCATGGCTACAGGAGGTCATGCGCAAGAGATAGATGTGTTGATCAACTTACAACAGGTAAGAATAACTTTAAGGTGTTTCTTACGTTAACCTTAAATTCAGAAGATATGAATAATTGAAACACAAGTCAAGCAAACATACACAAAAACATCTTCAAAGGGCAAGTGGAGAGTGAAGACCTCTGCCAAGGCTATTTGAAAGATGGTGAGTGTTTTTCCTATGTGATTCGGAACTGCTCCAATATCTAATGTGTTGTGCCTTGGCCTTTGCTATGTTCTTGCATCAAGTTTCATCAGGGCATTCATTTTTCAGTAATCCTGCTGACAGACCGTGGCGGAAACACAACCTCCTTAGCAGATCAAATTAAACCGTACAGTAATTTGGTGTCTGGCATTATGAAGTGTTACAAAATGAACCTTTTTCAGTTATAACTTCATCACATCTGTAACCACCAACATTTGTAACGTCAATTTATCTTTAACCTTTAAATGTTAGATGCTAAGGCAATCCAAAAGCTCCTCCTTTTTGTTTAACACAGAGATTGTCAGTTCTGAGCTAGAAATAATCCCTAGCATTTGTCCAGCATCCCTCCAGCTGGACATTTTGGGTACTATGCTTGTATATTAGCAAAAAACTAAAATGGAAAGAAGGGGAAACATTTGGTTATTTTCAATGTTCATTATATTTTTCAAATAAATTGTAATGTTCATGGAACATAAATTCAAGAAGAATTGAGAAATATGGTTATGCTGTCAGCTAACAGCCATGCATTTGTGAGACTGGATTCTTACTGCAAGACCATTTACAATATGCAAATCCACTGAATGCAATCACAATTATATAATTTGTCCATTTTATCTAGCAGTGTTGGTTTGCATTATAGATATAGGGAAGGGAAGTAAAGTGATGGAGGGTAAATAGATCATTTTTGGGAAGTTAGAGGTGTCATATACAAATGTAAATGCAAATGCATATGGCTGTGGATTGGAGGAGAGTTTGACTTTGCATGAGAAAACTACTGTAAAAAAAAAAGTGAAGACAGATAATTGGACATAATTGTGTAGCAGATGTCCACATTACTATGTCAGCCTGTACAATGGAGTCTCAGTGAGCCAGTACAAGAGTCCTTTATATTAAGAGTAGGTGGCCTTTCAGTCGGGACATTAATGCTGGCAGTGTGTCTGGAAGCTTGAGATTGAGAAGTGGAGTGAGAAAAATAACTTCATAAGCCTAGTTGACCGATAGCTTTGTGCCTGTGATATTTATTAGCTGACAAATCTCTAACACCAATTTCACATTTTCACACCAATCAGCTGCCAATTAGCTTGTCTATTATAGGCCAGTGAGCAATAAGGTATTAGAAGGAACAAAAAATATTGGTTGGATGTGGCGTTTCCTGTTTCCCTATTTTAGCATTTTCCCATCTGGATTTTTCGCTGTAACTGTTGTCTAACCCTCAGGCCATTGCTGCCCTTTGAACTGTTTGTGTATCCTGAATGTCAAACAACGGGCCTGCTGCAGTTCACTGTAAATGGCACTTTTATAATAATGGTGAAAGACTGTAAAAAAAACACAGATTGAACAAAAGTAAGCTCTGCCTTTGTTTTAACATTATTCTGACATCGATCGACAATGGGAAATAGAGTTTTCTAAGAAAGTGTTAAACCAACTATGCAACACATTCTCCTCCCTTCTACCAACCAATGGGTTGTTTGCAATGACTCCCAAAACAACATTTATGTGCGTTGGAGAATACCAGCATGTCATGAAACTGTCACCGTTTTTAAACATGAGTTTATCGTTGATTTGATTGATTGATTTAACTTTGTGAATTTAAACAACACTATCTGAAAAGGTAATTGCTTGAAATGAACCAAGTATGTATGTCTTTTCACTTAGGTAACGAAATAAGTGAAATACATTGTGTATGTGACGTAAGTTAAATATAAGATAATTTAAGCACATAGGTCAATAAGTGGACTTTTGGCTTTACAGGTCAGCAGAGGGAAAGTCCTCAGTCTGTTTCTTCCATTTATCCAACCTGCTCTCTTCCTTATACTTTGTTGCTGTTTATACGACATCACCTACCTTCTTCCTTTGCTTTTGTTGTAGCAATACTAAAACTAGAGGTTGACTCCTAACATTTAAGAGCATTTTATGGGATTTACTGGCATCCAGTGGTGAGATGGCGGATTGCAACCAACTGGATACTGCTTGGCTCACCACTCCTGTTACAAGCGTTTAAATAACCTTATTGTGGCCTTCAGCGAAGAGTAACATCATGAAGGGTCTTCTTGAAAGTCAGTTTGGCTATTTTGTTCATTGCTATTGTAGAACATGGATGTGCAACATGGTGGACTCTATGGAAGAGGACTCACTCTCTAAATCCTGCACATGGTCCTGCAATCTGCAAACTATCCGCCTGTTTTTTTATTTTAAAAGGACCATCTACAACTATTGCAAGTGCCACAACACAATGGATCCATGTGATAAATATGTAACTGCTAACTGCTAGCCAGCTAGGCACATGCCGTACACTCAGACCTTGCTTGTCATTTAAAAATAGAATTAGCTTGGTCGCTAAGGAGACAATCAGTTGACACGCTACTCAAGAGAAGTGTTTCTCGTGTTAATGTTTCCAAATGAAGTATAATAAGTTTCATCAATAAAACAAGCGCTAACATGCCATCAAGACTGAATTGGTTCTCCACCATCTCAACAGGGATGGTGGAGAACCAATTTTGCTCGATGGAAATTGCTTGGGTCCTGCACACCAGAATGCTTTCTAGCTGTTGTTCAAGTGAAACAGATTAGCCTGTGTTCTTATGGAGAACTACCCAGCGGCGCAGGATTCATTTCAGAAGTGGGGGGGGCCAAAAAGTGTGTGTGTATGTGACATACTTGCCAACCCTCCCGATTTTCGCGGGAAACTCCCGATTTCCTCCCGGGGTCATATTTCTCCCGAATTTCTCCTGATTTCGGACTAAATCTGATTGGTGAGTCACGACCTGTTTCATTCTAATATAACGCTCCAAATGTTACTGTTTCCACTCGGACTTCAATACAGCTACACCATTGTTTGGTTTCCATGGTAACGCGTCTCTTTAGTAGTGCGCGCAACTGAAAGTCTGAGAGGGTGTTCAGCATGGGAAGGAAGATAGTCACAGAAAACAGAACAAGAATGGACAACTCTACCCTCTGCTCACTCCTTTCCTGTAAATTCAACTATACAGGTCCAGCCCACACATATGACAGCGCAGTTGCTCCATCATTCCATCTTTCCTTTTTTCCTGCTCAATAATAGAATGTGACGTAAAATTACTCCGTTCTCCGCTTGTAATTATGCCGTTACAAGCTTCAAAGTTGTATTTATCATCTGAATTTGCCGAAACAAGTTTAATATTCTGAAAGCCAAGACTTTGTTTATTTGAAATCAGATCAAAACAAACTGTAACGGACCCTGCCGTGTTATCTATGATTACTATACGCCTTACATTCATAATTTCAGCGGAGGGGGGGGAGCGGCGCTGTGGAAGAGCAGCGTGGCGAGTGAGAGCTGTGTTCTTCCCTTTACAAGCTTCAGAAATGCCTGTAGCTAATGAGATTGAATATAACAATCAAACATAACAAAATATACACAGCTAGATCAGATGGCGTTCTTTTTAGGTGCAACTTTAGAGTAGAGGGGAATCATTGAAACGGGATGTACAGTGTTCCGCGGCATCCGCTGCTGCGAAAATGTGGGGCAGGGCTGTAAAGTGGGGGGGCCAATGGCCCCCTGGCATCCCTGCTTCCGGCGCCCTTGGCTCTACCGACTGAGTAGGCGTCATTATGCTCAGTGTGTGCATAGCATATTGTGGTGCTGGTTTGAACAAAATAATAGGCTGAATGCTTGGCTATAAGTGGATCCTTAGATTTCCTACCTGCAATTACGTGGGCACTTTGTACATAATCCGTAGAAAGAGACAGAAAATCTTATTTGCCTCATTAACTTTTATAGCTGATCCATGTCCCTCTAAATCGATGTCCCCAACTTCTTTTTTAAGGTGGTTTGGGTTGTGTGTGTAGGATATTAACCTGTTAAACCCCGAGCCTGTTTTCAGGTTTCAGGCTCGAAAATGACATTCCCAGAACAAATGACTATAACTTCACTTCTAAAAGGTTTATATGAATAATTGTTGTTATAAAAGCAAGGTTACATCTGTGAGTTGGATGTAGAAGTGTCAGAATCAATATAGATTTTTCTGTGTCAGAGTAAATTCAGATGGAACATAGCAAAAAAATGTAAATTCCTGTCTCCGCCTAAAGAAAACCCATTACTTATAGTGAAGACCAACCTTGAATGATGGGTTAGTAGCCTAAAGCTTTAGGAATCCAAAGTATAACATATACCCTGTACCCTGTATCAAGATTGAGGCAAAACAAGTGACATTTGACCTTTTTAGAGAGGTTTATGAAAATAAAGTCCAGGCGGAATAAGCTTTGGGCACATTTGGGCACATTTGGTTCCATCAGTGCCATTTGACCTTTTTCAGGTACCAGAATATACAAATCATTGTATTACATTGAATCATCACTATAGGTATACATTCCACCCAAAAATAATAATATATATTTTTAAATAATTGTTTTAAAAATATTTTTTTGTGTGAGTGTGTGTACTAGGTGTGTGTAAATGTAGGTGTGTGTGTGTATGTGTAGGTGTGTATGTGTAAGTGTAGCTGTGTGGGTATGTGTATGTGTAAGTGTAGCTGTGTGTATGTAACTGTACCAACGCACTATACAATAATAAATAATACATACTATATACTCATAATAAAACCACACTGTAGGTCATTGTGTGTAGGTGTACTTGCACAATAAAAAAAAAATAGAAACATAGGTAACATTTGACTCCAACTGGGGCAGATTTATTTCAAACATTTTACCAACACACTATAGGCATGTAAAAACAAACATTTTACCAATGTACTATACAATAAAACCACACTGTAGGTTTGTAAAAACAACAAATATTTTACCAACACACTATACAATAAAATCACACTAGGTATATA